ATGTTGATAATTGCCTTACATATATCCTGCAGCACCACTGAGCTGTGTGTCTTTGTGGAGTCCGTTTGCCGAATTAGGAGTGAGTCGGAGGCGTTAAAGCTTGAGATAATGAGAAGGCAAACAGGATTATTGACAGAGACACAAAGAGAGATTTTGAGGTGTCTCCAGCAGCTGTGTGAACGTAGCATTCTCTCACTGGAGGCTACATAAGATCTGTTAACCCTGTCGTGTTCAGGCAGACGCTTGGCACCAGAGCATCTTAATGTAGCCATATGACCCAGATATGACCACTTCCCTCATTTGAGGGCGCTTTATTTAAATTTGCCATCATTGTCTGTTAATTGGCTTTCATTGGTGACCCACTTTTGCTCGTGAGGCCTCTACGCCCCTGTTGTGAATCTCCAGTCATGTGTCCAATGGAGGGGAGAAAAGGGGGGAGGATTCCTTTTGGATCGTCAAAACATCTCTAATTACCCTCCTCTATGGGACCGCCAAGGTGTCAACATGCTAGTCATGTCAGTTGCCCGATCATAAAAAAAAATGTCTTCCCACCAATAGTTTACATCTCATTTGGCTACTGACAGGGGGTGCTGTACACCCAGTTTTGCACAACTTGCTCTTTAAACTGAGGAATAAACGTGTTTTCTGTGATGTGTGAAGGTTTACTGTGTTTTGTTTTGTTTTTTTTTTAAGATTTTCTAGTTGTTTCATGACCAGTGGTGTGAGGGCATCATCTTAGAGACACTTCTGATTGAGTACTGCCTGTTCAAACTCCTGGAGGCCTCCACCAATCAGCAATGCAAACACAGGCAAATATCGTTCCTTTGTATCAGGCAAATCATTTGTCTCTGCTAGCAGTTTTCACCAAAATGCTTTGTGTACCAAGGCAATCTATTATCCCCTGGTGGATTTAGAGTTTTTAAAGTGTTTAAGGAAGATTATGATGATGTCTTGTTAGAGAGGCGAAGCAATGGAAAACACACACATTACTGACCCTTCAGGACTAATTGAGTGTCTAAAATAACTTGGATTCCCATAGGGATTTGACTTGTTGTCTGGTGAGTGTTGGTTAACACCATCTTGACCGCACACAGTGACAATTCAGCACTAGACCCGATTAACCTTTATGGTTTAATCCTAATTAATGTTGCAGAAAAGAATTGTTGACACTTTTACGTAAAAGTAATCTTTGATTGGCATTGGACATTTTTAAAACTGTTGGTATTTTATTTAAAATCCGTACTTCATTACCAACTTTCATTTGAATTAAATGTTGGATACAAGTTGAGGAACTTTAATTTGATGCTCTATGTATTTTATTGACTGTTCACAGTTTCGTGTGAAATGTATCACCTCTATGAAACACAAATGAAAAAAAATGTGTATATTTTACATTTTAGTTGGCACATTAAGTCAAATCAAGTGGCAACCCTTTGCTTTATTGACAGTGCTGTAAACCCTTGCCATTCTTTCAGTTTACTTCATTAAGTAGTCACCTCAAAGGGTTTATTGGTGAATTTTTTTGTATGTGCAAGTGCCACTTGACCTCTTTAACTTTTGTTAAAAGGGTGCCTACGGTGCCAGAAAGGCACCAGAAATACAATGTATTTATATAATTATTAAAATGTCTTACTTAAACAATTTTGTCCTAAACAAATTAGCATGTGCATAAATTTTGGAACCCCAAAAGAAAATTTTACTCAAAATTTACTCTACTTCCTTCAGGAGAAATAGCCTATAGACGGTTTCTATCGCTTCACTTAGAGTCTGGATTCTGAGAGAAGGTGTTTTGGACCATTCTTTTCAAAACATCACTAGTTCAGTCAGATTTCATGGTTTCTGAGCATGGACAGTCCGCTTTTCATCACACCACATGTGTTCAATAATATTTTGGTCTGGGGACTGAATAGTAATTCCAGAACGTTGTACTTATTCCTCTGCGTGAATGCCTTAGTAGATTTTGAGCAGTGTTTAGGGTATTGTCTTGTTTAAAGACGCATTACTCGTTCATATAGCATCTCTTTGTGTAAAGTGAGCTGAACAGTTGAATGATGCACAGCAACACCATCTGCAACAAGAACATGTAGGTCTTTGGAGCTGGTCTGTGGGTTGACCGTGATTGTTCTCACCATCCTGCACCTTGCCTCTGTGAGCACCCTGCTTGAATATGTAGCATCTTTGTATTGTTTCAAGCGATAGATGCACCATTTTAATCTCCAGCATAGGTCTGATCATGGGATTGGCTTGTACACTTCACAGAGTAAAGCTTGTCTGCTCCTCTTTGATTCACAACACTACTTTTTAAGTTAACTAAATTACTCAAAAATTATAAGTTTAAAGAATTTACATTTTTTGAGTACTGTTTACTTAATAACCCGGGTTCGTTAATGATGTTTTGAGGCAACTGGTCTCCACAAAACCTTTGAGTACTGTAACCATTTCGGGTTTGTTTCAGTGTGCAAACAATAAGTATTTTTCTGTTTAAAAAAAAAAAAAAACGATGACTTGAGTCGTGCAACTTTGTCATTCAAATATAATCTTAAGTTTTTCCCACATGAGTCTTAAAGACCCTTAATATAGCTCATTCCCTCTTCCTGTCAGAATTTACCTGTAGAGCATTTTAGTCTGAATAATATTTTATTAAGTAATCAAATTGCTAATGGCAGCGAGGGAGAAAGCCCAAGGATTCTCACACATGCTGTCACTTGAACAAAAGTGGTGTGTGCTCTTTCACTCTTGAGCTCACACCGCGTACACAAACACTTCACACAAAGAGAAATAGGGCCAGAAGTTATGAGGGTAAACCTAAGAGCAAACAAGGGTGCGGAGCAGAGAGACTCAAGCGTAGCTTTAGGTTTGAGGAGAGACAAGTTTCTGCGTTATCACAATCAGCAGCCACTGTTTTCCAGGTCACTGTTTGATTGATTTAGATTAACACCATTTATAAATAGGGAATTTAGAGTAAATATTTTCTTCTCACTGTTAAGTACAGGTTAAATATGAATATGTGATTCATCATAGAGACTGCCATGTGTCACTGACTAAATCCTATTAATACTTTTTTCGCACGAAGAGGGATCAGGGTGTTTATCTGGCATTACTGTCAATTTATTCGTTTTGAACATCATGGGTGATTAAATTTTGGTTGGAATACACTTAATTTGGTTTAAAACAATGAGCGTCATTGTTGGGTTAATTCTCTGCTGGGTGCTTTATTTTATAGGTTTGACTGCTGTAGTTTGATGCGTGGTTTGGTCATTGATGGGATTTTTGACACTCAGTACCAGCCCTACCTTGTGACACAAGGATGTGTGCTGGTTGAATCCGGATGAAACTAAAGAATTGAAAGAGACAAGCTGTTGCATCAGATCGGGGATATAGCACCTTACACAAGATGATCATGCCCTTTAGCTAGTTTTGAATATAACATATAGACACCAGTAGCGTTTCCATCCACCTATTTTCCATCCATATTTTGCAATATCACATAAAAAAACCCTGGATAAATACATTTTGAAAAAGCAATAAATTACAACCTTTTTATATCAAATTTATATGATGTATATGATAACATAAATACGGCACTAATACAGAAAAAATGGCATTAACCAATGGATTCATTGCACAACATCTGAAATTTTGTTTCGGTCATTCTCAAATTCTTTAGCCAAAGGTTCGGGACTATCACCTCCCAGAACTGTCTTGACCGGCTGCATTCCCTTAAGGCCAATATGCACGGACCCAAATTTTTGGTGCAAAGTTTTATGCGACAACCCGCCTCATCACACATCGGATCAAACGAGTGGTGCCAACGAAAAAGAGTTTTGCACTGCCATATCAGATCCGTTTTTCACAAGGAGAAAAACCAGGGGCGCCCGTCCAACATTTTCATAGTGACTTCAACAGAAAAAAGTAAAGAAATAGAGCACCACAAATGATCCATCCATGTTTTTTTTTCTTTGTGTTCTTTGATTTCTTCTCTGTCGACGTCTTTTTCTTTTCTGTTTCACCATGTGTGCAACTGTTGTACTGCAAACGCCATCTTCAGGCAGGGGAGCATCATTGCAACAATATTTCCTCAACCCAGTCGAAGAGCACCCTGCTGAGAAGACTTCTGAAGATGTGTGCGCATCTCAATTCGGATCAGTGTGTAGAGGTTTTAAGAGCAGTCTCCCGCCTCCAAAAGCACCATGACATGGCTTCGCATATTGTGTTTCGTCTAAGTGCTCTAAAGGCCCCTACAAAGGCTCTTGATGATGCTCCCTGCCTGAAGATGTACGGTAATTTCTGGTATAACAGATGCTCTCGACACCACACCGGGAAACAGGAAAGAATAAGACAGAGATTAAGACGAAGAAGACAGAGAAGACGACGACAGGGAAGAAAATGAAAAAAATCCTGGATGTCGATTGGTTTATTTGGGAGCTTTTGGACACAATTGTCCATAAAAAAAAACTAATTCTTTCCTGTTTCTTGTACAAAATCTCTATGAAAATGTGCACCACAGAGCAGCTCTTTTATGTTCTACTCGAGTCATCGAAAGAGCCAGCTTTCATTGGTTGTTCTAGTTGCATAAAAAGGATTCAAGACATTCCAAAACTCTTTTATGTTGGCACCACTCGTTTGGTCCGATGTTTGATGTTCCGTTGATGCCCATGGATTTTGACCGAGGCTTGAAAATACTTTGGACCGAAAATTCAGATCGATGTGTATTGGCCTTAAGATGCAAGTAAGTTATTACCTACGAAAAAAGGCCTTCTCCTACTACAGCAACTTCCTTTTTTTTTTGTATCTGTTGCCAATTTATTAGGATGATTTTGTTCTCTTGGACTCGTTGAATGGAATTCGCAACTATTTTATATGATATTCCAGTTTTATGAATATATGAATATATTTCATTAGCATATTTGGAAGGAAGCATGTCTAATGTTCCACAAAGAGCAAGTGTTTGAATAATTTTTAAACAAGTATCGGCTGGTTTGAAAACATTTATAATGATTTCCTGTGGCTCAGTTGGTAGAGCAGCTAAACAATACAAAGGTCGTGGGTTCGAATCCCAGGCAAAGGATTCATTCAGTCTTCATTCATTCAAATGTAAGTCGCTTTCGATAAAAGCGTCTGCCAAATGCATTAATGTAAATAATGCAGCTGTTTATTCAATGCCTGGGCTATGTTACACTTATTGTTTTGATGTTTATTTATTTATTTAATTAGCCAAGTCAGTCACCGTCTCCATACATCAGGTATTGAGATTCTACGCTCACATTCTCAGCCATTCTTGATATCCATCAGATCCAGACTCCAAACCATAGCATACCTGAACAGACATGCCTTGCATTGGTGGGATTCCTCAGGAAAATATCAAGATACAGACCCGAACCCTAAACAGAGGTCACTGCGAATGAACTCTTTCTGAATTTACAAAACACTAGGCATTTATAGCATGGAAGATGTTTTGCAGGTTCCTAAATTTAGTATTTGTGCAAACAAACTGTATCTAATTAGTGAGTTAAGTACAGCATGAGTGGAGTTGTAAACCCGTCACAATGTCTGTTTGCTCACTGTTACTCTTACTCTCAAGGGTCTTTCAGCTTGACCTGAGTAGATCTTGTTTCCTATGTTCTGAAACTCATTGTTAATTAATGATGAAGAGGTTCTGTAATTGGATTTCCCAGTCGATTGTTTGTCATTATATAGCGCTCATTCTGCTGTTTAATTTGTGTTTGTGTCTCGTTCTCATCCTTGTCAATTTTGAATTATATTAATAGGTTTGTTGAGTTTTTTTTTTGTTTGTTTGTTTTTGCTCAATGTGTTTTTCTCTTTTGAAGTTAAAATTCAAATCTTGAATGTGCACTGCAATTGTGACATTGCGCTTTAAAAGCACTCTTTAGGAGTCAATGCGGTACCAGAACAGTTTAAAGTTGCAAGGAAAACTAATAAACAATGTGTCCTGTGTAAGAAAGCATGTCCTCCTAGATTCTGTATTATCTTACATTTCCAAAATTCAGTTTTTCCCAAGACGTGATCATTTTCAAATGCATAAGGATGTGATGGTGTGGATTCTCCGCTATAATCATATCATTAACTCTTACACTTGTTATTTTGCCAAGGTACACTTTATAATTAATCAAATATCTCTTGAAAATGACAGAAACAGGACTTTGTGACAGAATCAATCAACTTTTCTTAAGACTTCCCGGACTCATTGAGAGTGCTTTAACATAGACATCTTTGTTTACATGACTCCTTGAGTATTATACAATCCCTGCAAAGCTGTATGGGCAACAGATTGTGTGCACCAGCACCGATCAGGACAGTGACAGTGCGATATCTCACTAATCTTGCAACCTTTCATGCGTTTGTCGCATACCCTTCATTCCTTCAGTTTTTAGTGGCGTCTAAGCGTGACCGACACAAAGTGTATTGGCCTTCATTCCAAGTGTGAATGCAGACGACTGTGTGAATTCCCACTTTATCTGATTTGCTTGGCTGCTCATCAATACTGGAAACTCTGGTGTTGCTGTAATACATTGTGCTTCACTTATCCGTTGAATCTTTCAAAAATGTGTAGTCACATTGTTTCAGGGGGAAACAAACCCGAGGACCTTAAAGGTCGTAGTATTATTGATTAAACCCACTCACTTTAAAAATACAGTTGCAATTGATTTAGACTAATACGTTAATTTTAACTTCTTTAACACAAAGCCAATTTTGTTTATCATGAAGTAAACATCTGCTCTGACCAGGATGGCATATCAGCTCAGAACAGCTTTATGTAAGCCAGCAAGGATGAGCTTCAAATCACCTGTAAAGACGCTTTGAGCCTTAGCTGAGGACCTTAATCCTCTAGTTTGCCTTCCATCTCGGGTTTAGGGCACTTAGAGCACCATAGGTTGGTATCCTATTGGTGCAAATGCCCCTAGAAAGTCATTTATCTGCACTCAAATCATTAATTTTGTCCATATTCAGAACTCACTGTTAAAATATGTGTAAAAAAGTATTTTCTCGGATCTGTGTTTGATTTAATTTCATAATGTTCTTTACATTTATGTAGATTACCAAACATACAGTGGCTTGCAAAAGTATTCGGCCCCCTTGAACTTTTCCACATTTTGTCACATTACAGCCACAAACATGAATCCATTTTATTGGAATTCCATGTGAAAGACCAATACAAAGTGGTGTACACGTGAGAAGTGGAACGAAAATCGTACATGATTCCAAACATTTTTAACAAATAAAGAACTGAAAAGTGGGGTGTGCATAATTATTCAGCCCCCTGAGTCAATACTTTGTAGAACCACCTTTTGCTGCAATTACAGCTGCCAGTCTTTGCACATCTAGAGACTGAAATTCTTGCCCATTCTTCTTTGCAAAACAGCTCCAGCTCAGTCACATTAGATGGACAGCGTTTGTGAACAGCAGTTTTCAGATCTTGCCACAGATTCTCAATTGGATTTAGATCTGGACTTTGACTGGGCCATTCTAACACATGGATATGTTTTGTTTTAAACCATTCCATTGTTGCCCTGGCTTTATGTTTAGGGTCGTTGTCCTGATGGAAGGTGAACCTCCGCCCCAGTCTCAAGTCTTTGGCAGACTCCAAGAGGTTTTCTTCCAAGATTGCCCTGTATTTGGCTCCATCCATCTTCCCATCAACTCTGACCAGCTTCCCTGTCCCTGCCAAAGAGAAGCACCCCCAGAGCATGATGCTGCCACCACCATATTTGACAGTGGGGATGGTGTGTTCAGAGTGATGTGCAGTGTTAGTTTTCCGCCACACATAGCGTTTTGCATTTTGGCCAAAAAGTTCCATTTTGGTCTCATCTGACCAGAGCACCTTCTTCCACATGTTTGCTGTGTCCCCCACATGGCTTGTGGCAAACTGCAAACGGGACTTCTTATGGTTTTCTTTTAAAAATGGCTTTCTTCTTGCCACTCTTCCATAAAGGCCAACTTTGTGCAGTGCACGACTAATAGTTGTCCTATGGACAGATTCCCCCACCTGAGCTGTAGATCTCTGCAGCTCGTCCAGAGTCACCATGGGCCTCTTGGCTGCATTTCTGATCAGCGCTCTCCTTGTTCGGCCTGTGAGTTTAGGTGGACGGCCTTGTCTTGGTAGGTTTACAGTTGTGCCATACTCCTTCCATTTCTGAATTATCGCTTGAACAGTGCTCCGTGGGATGTTCAAGGCTTGGGAAATCTTTTTGTACCCTAAGCCTGCTTTAAATTTCTCTATAACTTTTTCCCTGACCTGTCTGGTGTGTTCTTTGGACTTCATGGTGTTGTTGCTCCCAATATTCTCTTAGACAACCTCTGAGGCCGTCACAGGGCAGCTGTATTTGTACTGACATTAGATTACACACAGGTGCACTCTATTTAGTCATTAGCACTCATCAGGCAATGTCTATGGGCAACTGACTGCACTCAGACCAAAGGGGGCTGAATAATTATGCACACCCCACTTTTCAGTTCTTTATTTGTTAAAAATGTTTGGAATCATGTACGATTTTCGTTCCACTTCTCACGTGTACACCACTTTGTATTGGTCTTTCACGTGGAATTCTAATAAAATTGATTCATGTTTGTGGCTGTAATGTGACAAAATGTGGAAAAGTTCAAGGGGGCCGAATACTTTTGCAAGCCACTGTATCTAGCATTCCAATAGCATTGCTAGATTCTACGACGAGTCTTGTGTAGGGGAGCAACATGAACTTGTGAGTTTTCCAGCAACCTCACAGGTGGACACAGATGACTCACAAATCCAATCTGATTTTATTTTTATTTCCCCAGTGGATCTGACTAATTGCTAATACAGGCTTTGCTTGGCAAAGCGTTCAAAAAGACAAACAAGCTTGTATTGTCCAGTTCCTCCTTTAGCCACTTGTCGCTTATCCCTCCGCCTGTTCTGTCAGTCACTGGTGGCCTGATCTTCCGTAAGCCGTATTTGTCAAATTAAACACTCTGTGCGCAAGCATCCGCCGTAGGTGAAGTCTCAGGACACAGCGAATCTCATTTGGGATTTTTAAGAGGACAAATGAATTAGCTGGAGGCTTTGTGGTTGCTTTTTCCAGGCTAATCTCAAGATCTTCCCTCAAACTTTATGGGATTGCCAGCCCTTTCCAGGAAAAACATTAGTGACAAAAGTGATTCTTGGAGACACGAGTCTGAGCTTCTGTCTTTGTTTGCTTTCCATAATGTTAAGTTCCAAACACATTTTTTGTCATTTTAAATTATAATCTGCTCTGAAACCTTTCTTGACCTTTGTGTCCCTCTTTTTAAAATGAAATGGTCAGCAAACTCACTCTTTAGTATTTTAATGTAAACAACATGTTTTATTTACCATCAACTTTTATTAAAGTACAAAAACAATGATTTTAAACTAGTTTTCCAAGTAAGGTTCTGTAGTAACAGTATTAAACCAGTAGAGGGGATTGGCACACTAGATGGTTGAAAACCAGCAGCTGTTCTCTCCTTTCAACACAAGGCCTCTTCTTTTCAATTAGACCTGTCCCAGAGCATTAATGTAATGTACCTCCCACACCAAACAACCCACATTGAGTCCTTTCTGTCAAGTTTAGCTTCATCCATTTGTTATTTTGGTCAAATAAACCTAATATGCTCTGTAAGACCCGAACTGGTACAAGTGAGGTAAGCATAAACACTGCCTCGAGCTTAAACAAATTGGTTTTCCACTTCAACAAATGAGTAATGCCTTTAAAGGAGAGCTGCAGTTGGACTCTGTGACTTGTAAGATTATGTGCTCTGTGCTTGTGCCATTCAGTTTCTTCAAATGTGCTCAGACTTCATTCTTAAAAAAAATATTTATTTAGTTTTTCATGTTTGATTGTTGGATCTGATCTTTAGTTTAAATTCCAAAACCCTCTGAAGCACTGATTTGAATTCATTTTCTGTACTAGCTTCAAAGTGTTCTATGTGCATGTCTTCTGATCAATCCACTTTGTACCAAACTGCTTGATGTTTACTCCCAATGTAAGTCGCTTTGGATAAAAGCGTCTGCTAAATACATAAATGTAAATGTAATGTAAATTTAAATCGATTGGATGTT